TATATTTATTAGCTAGTTAATTATATTTTCTACTTTGTAAATTGCCTTTATATGTCTTTTGCTCATTTCTCTAGAGTCATTAACATTTTTCCTACTGATATGTATGAGTTCTTTATGTATTAAGCATATTAATCCATAAGTTATCATATTTACTATTTTTATGGCTCAAGTGCTATTTTTTAAATAAGAAAAACTAAATAAGAATATAACATATCATAAAGGTGGTATCATGAATCTTTTACTTCCCTAAATTGGTTATGCCACCTTTTAAAAAAATTTCTAATTAATTTCATCTGTTTCTTCTTTCAAATAATCCTCAGAATCTCAGATTCTGATAAAAAACAAAATTCACTGGGATTTTGATTGTAATTATATTAAATTTATAAATTTAATTTATAATTAGTTTTCCAGTCTCCTACAGTGGTGGCTATTCCCCTTTTACTTGAGATTTCTGTCTCAGTTATGTCTTGGTGCATACTGAAAAAGAAGTAATATTAATGGCTTCAACTTCTTCCTGTGGTCTCTCCTGGGATGCAGTCAGATGGCAGCTGGAGCTAAAGTCCAGGTTTTGCTGAGCCAAACGTCCATGATGGCTTCCTCCTGATTAGTCACGCTCGCATGGCCTCTCCCTCCAGCAGAGTAGCCTGGATTTCTTACCTGGTGACTCAGGGCTCTAGCAGGTGGAAGCAGTCTTCTTAAGGCTAGGCTTAGACCTGGCACAGGTCACTTTTACCATATTCTATTGATCAAATCAGTCACCTGACAGCCAGATTCAAGAGGAATGCTCACCTCTTGATGGGGAAGTGGCCTGTGCAAATAGAAAGGTCTGCCACCTTTGGAGATAAACTATCATATCTTCTTTTATTGATCTTGGTAAAATTTCCCTCATAAAACTATTCTAAATTTGTGTTGCTAGAATAATATGTACGTTTTTCCCTTTGTAATTTACTAACTGGTTAGTGCTGATACTGAGAGCTACCCCTTCATTCTTGTCTCTCCCTAATCTGTCTTTCTCCTTGTCCCTTTCATTCAACAATTTTGATTGGGTGAGAAAGCCACTCTGAGATGGCAATTGAGGAGGACTCCCTGTTAATCCAAACCAGTTTGGGCCGGACAGGGAAGTTTGCACATTAGTCCTAAATTAGCCTGAAATTATATCCTCTCTGACTACACAAGGCCAACGCCTGCATCTTAATACTTAAATCTCCAGCCAAGCGAACGTAAGACATGTGACATACATGACTGCACACTGCACATGTGCGCTTATCCCCACTTGAATATGCATAGAAATATCCTAGCCCTTGTAAAATATGTACATTCCCGTAGCTAGATTCTTAAAAGCTATAATCCCCGCCGTCTCAGGGAGCTTGGTTTAGGTGCTGAGACTGGCCTGGCTCCTGGCTTGCATAACTCGAATAGACTCCTTTCTGTGAGATGCTCAAATCGTTGTCTTTGTGTTTCAATCTGC